TTGGAGGCGCGACGCGGTGCAACAGGCAATGATATCTTCGCAGAAGAGATGTAGCGTAATATATATATATATATATATGTAGTGTTCTTTTTGGTTTCCTTTTAACACAACCAACAACAGGGTGCCCTTCAAAAAAATACACGTGTGTTGAACTGACATTTGCCAGACCCCTTAGGAGAATCCCTCCTGGGTGGAGCTCAGTGACCGAAAGCTGCAGCAATGGGCTGCTAGCAGTGGCCTCGCCAAGCCGAAGGGCGGGTCATTGGACAAGCCGTCCTTCAGCTACGGCATCGGTACCTTGGAGGACCAGTTTGGTCTTCTTGCATTCTGCCTGACGTGTCCTGAGTGGGTGGTGGCCCTTTGTTTTGAGGATAGCCGGGTTTGACATTTTGAAGGGAAAGACAGTCACTTTGGGGCGTCCTCTAAAAAGCACACACACACACACACACACGCATTTTTTGCTCTGGAGTCTCCAGAGGACTTGAGCCTTCAGAAGGTGATCAATTCCATTGCCGCCACCATCCCCAGAAACTACGTGGTCATGGAGGTGCGAGGCAACCTCGTGGCAGAGGAACGCGCAGAGGTGCTGAAGAGGTTCAGCCTGCCGCACTTCAAGAAGTCTGCCATGGTGGTGATGGGCAAGCCCCTTGAAGAGTTCAAGGATCGGCTGCGCGCGAAGATCCTTAAGGAGAAGCAGTCCAAGAGTGACAACGAATCTTGGTGGCTCCCAGCCATCCCCTCAGCCTTTTAGCTTGTTTTGGAGATTTAGTGGTAGCTTCCGTATTTAGGCCACTAACAGTCAGCCACTAGCGGATCTGAAAACGGGCAGAGGAATGGAAGCTGAAGAAGGCGCAAAGAGACCAGGCCAAGCAAATGGCCCGCCGCCAGAAAGAGTTGGCAGAGATGAGAAGAAAAGCCGAGGAGAGTCGGAAGAAGCTGCTCGAGGAAGCGTTGAAAAAGGCACCCTGTGGGCGTGTCTCTCTTTGTAGGCCCCCCCAAATGGCCATGGGTTGCATAACCTATGGCTCCATTTTGGGGTGGATGAACATCCATTTGCCACCTATTTTGATGTTCACCAGGTGTACAGGGTTTGACCCACAGCCAAGTGGCGCTTTTCCTCTTTGGATCCCCTTTTAAAACCTCAAGAACAAGTACCCTCGAAAAAAGGCACACCCATGTGTGCTCGGTACTTGGCAAGCGTTTTCTTTTTTTGACAGGCCGGAGATGAGTCCAAGAAAGAAGAGGTCAAGGCAGAGAATGCTGAAGATGCAAAGGACGAGCCAAAAGCGGAGGTGAAGGAAGAGGAGGTGCACTTTTCTTTGGCGCTTGGCAATTCTGACTTTGCAGTGCATCCAGGTGAAGCAAGAAGAGGATGACGATGGGATGGGCGAGGAGCCGCCCAAGGTGCTTAGTAGAGGTGCTGCCCGCATTTTTCAGCTCCCAGAGCCAGGTGGAGTTGACAGAAGAGGAGCTAAACGTCGAGTTTCGTCCCAAAGCCGCGGGAAGTGACATTGCACCAGGCGCAGGCGGCTCAATCACCTTTCCGGGGAAAGGACTGGCAAGCTTTGCAGAGAGGCGCTTGGCCGAGATCTCAGTTTGCACGCTGAGGCCCTTTCCAAGAGCATTGCCAACTTCACCGTTCCGGAGGAGTCGGAAGGTTTCGATGCGGTGGCTTGCATGCAACACACTTGGCTGTGTCTTTTTTTAGTGAACCCCCCCAAATCTTGGTTTTCCTTCTCGTTTCCCTTCAAAACCTACCAAAAAAAACGGGACCTGAGGTTGAGCTTGGCACATTCCATGCGTCTCACGACGGACGGAAGGCTTGGACCTGAGGTGGAGTTCGTCTGGGAGGGCGAGGCCGAGAGCAAGGAGTACCTGAAGAAGTGGATCATGGAGGCCAAGCAGACCATGCGCATCGAAGACCTGCAGCCCTCCAAGTACTTCGCGGACCGACATTCTTTTTTTGTTTGTTTGCGTGTGGGTCTTACACGCGCTTGTGCGCAATGTGCGCGTTGACTGGTTCAGGACAAGGTGGCTCAGTGGCAAAAGCTTTTCCAAGATTGGCAGGTGAGCCGGCTCGGCAGGGGCTGTTATTTGCATCATGGTTTTGCTCACTTTCGGTATGCGCAGGCGAAGCAAAAGACCTTTAAAGCCAACCCTCCAGCCAAGAAGGAGAAGAAAGACACTGATGAACCAGAGAGGAAGGCATTGGATTTTGAGCATGTTGAGTGGCTTGCAGATGTGCTGGCTCAGGTTTTGGACATATTCTCCATAGAGGACTTGATGCGCTTGCTGCATGTCGGCATGACTTGATGCTTGGCCCTGAAGGATGTTGATGATATGGGGGATGGTGAACCATTGTATGCAAACTTCGCGGCAGAGGCCGGCCAGATCTGCGGCTCAGCCACGTGAATTTGAAGAGTATTTTGCCACCAGACATGATACATGTATCATGATGCATGTGCTTTTCTATTGCCCGAACGTTTTCAATTTGCTCTGTATGCAGGATTGGGCGCTGTTGCAAATGCGGTACGAGTTCTACTTGTTGCAGGAATGCTTCAAGAAGGACCATTCTCTTCTAAGTGGTTAATTCTGCTTCGATGCGACAAACTGCAGGATGTTGATGATCCGGACCGCCTGGACATTCCGGAAGTCCATATCAGCTTTTACTTTACAAAGTACTTCAAGAAGACTCTGAACCCGCAGGCGCTCTCTGCTTTGCCCGCGTCATTCCAAGATTCAGTTGTAGGCCTTCTCCCTCAAAACTGTGAATGATCTGGTGGACTTGATCAAGGCGAGGCGCTCTGCTGAGCTTCGACGTTTCGGGCTTCTTATATCATTGCAGGACACAGTCATCATCAGCGGAGATCCTGCGGTGTTGACGGCGAACATGGAGAACGTGGACTCTCCGGAGATTTTCGTGAAGTTCACCGAGGCCGCTCAGAGCTCACAGCTCGAGCCACTTGCTCAAAAACCGATAATTGATGAAGGTTGCTAAGGGGCAGCCCCAGCCAGAAATAGTTGCGGATATCCGCCTTCGAACAATTTTTCACATGGTTCTGGGATTACGACCATTTTAATACCAAGTGTTGATTATGACTCAGATGGAGTTCTCAAGTTCTGCTTTTGTTCGCAGGAATGTAGAAGAGACCGGCAACGGCGGAGTGATGCCGGAGACGAAACCGCGAAGCTGAAGTACGCGGCTCCCAGTGCGCCGGCCATCAGGCAGTTAAGTCCCGGCTGGCTATGAATCTTTTTAATGCTTGGAACCGCCTCAAAAGTGGTGGCTGATGTCCACCAGTTTGGGTCCCTTGGGTCCCTACTAAAAAAAAAAGAAAGGTGAAAATAAGCAAGACCGCCCAGCTGACCTCGTGTGCCCAGCGAGTTGCTCTCGTTCGCCGAACAGAGGCCTCAGGCGCCCATCCAGAGCTGGCCGCAGATCCGGCCGCCCGCGGGCTTCAAAGCTCCGGGGAAGGTCGGGCGTGCTGGGAACGGACGGAGCCGGCTGAAAAAAAAGGCGCAAACCCCTAAGAACGGACACCCGAGGGCATGTGCGTGTGTGTGTTTGTGTGTGTGTGTGTGTGCGTTTTTTTTTTTTTTTTTTTTTTTTTGGTAAATTCTTCCCGCGGGGTCCTTCCATTTCTCATTCCCTGCCTATCGACCAGCAAGGTGTGCGAGTGTGAAATCTGTGAAATGGGTGTGGCTCAAAATTAAACAGCCAGGGTTACGCAGGTTTTAGTCTTTGATTCATGTACCAAGGTGCCATTTTGGGCTTACCCTAGTTTTGACAACCACAGCCAATTGAGAGGAGGTGTAGCGCTTAAGTGCTTATAGTGCCAGCCCGATGCCAGGGAGCCGCGCCTGTTGGCACATGGAAAGGCGGCAAGTGGTGAGAGTGCCTCTGGGCGGCGAGCCTCTAAAAAAATGGTGCGCAGAAGCCGGGCACTGCAGTTCGGATGTGGCCTTTGGAATTCCAAAAAACCGGGGAATTCATTCTAAAATGGGTTGCCCTGGTAAGCCTGGTAAGTGGAGACATGGACCAAAACCTGCGGTTTCTATAGGCCACACCCATGTTGCCTTTGTGTCCGCCTTTGCCTGTCTCAGAGCGTGAGCTGCTCGGAAGCCGAGCGTATTCTTGTCGGTCATGACAGCGCTCGACCCTCAAGGCCGCGCACACAGCCACGGAACCACGGACCTCACATGTCAGATCAACATGCTCAAGTCAGTGAAGTTGATTGCAGGTTACCGCAGGTACCAGTTCCGCGCCCGCGAGAAGCAAGAGCCTGGACTGACCAGTGAACATCTTTTCGGTTTTTCTTCTTGCTGGTGCTCAGCAGGGAAGGAGGGAATGACGCCCCCATAAACCATCCCACTGGTGGTTTCCGTGAAGGGAATCCACAGGTTCATTCCCTCATTCTCTGCTGAGCACGAGCAAGTCTTGCTCAGGTTTAGGTTCGACATGACAAAGAAAGAGCTTACGACATTGATACGATAGCAAGCAGATGTCATTTCAGTGAGTAGCAAACGTCTTCACCAGTGACATGGTTACCTCAGCCAAATGGTTGAGCCCAACCTTAAAAGTTGGTTTGGCTTCCTGCATTTCCAATCATTGTCCTATATCATCAATGTGCTGAAATAACAATTGCAGATGTTTCAGGTCCTTTTTGCATCCTTCGTTCTGGTTATGATACCTGATTTTGTGCTTTCCGCTGAGGATTGAACCCCATGCTCTGATCAACAACCTCAAAGCAGCGTCGTGACCTTGGTGCATCCTGCTTGTACTGTATGGGTGGGTGAAAAGAGACTGGCGTGAATTGGGACACATTTCCTTTGCCTGCAGCAATCAACAGTTGCACTGATCAGTTGCTTTGGGGAGGAACCTTCATGCCTTGAAGGCTAACGAGTTGTGGCAGCTGCGTGTATTTCTTGATGCCGGGACGCCCGCAGCTGTTTTGGAAAGACCCACTCACGGACGGAGTCCTTTGTTGGGCATCAGTAGCATGGCCAAGTCTTTGCTCGTGGTAGGGCATGGGCCCATTGGGCATTCCTTCCTTGAGAAGATTGCATCTGGAGAGTACAAAGTGTCGGTGCTGTGTGAGGAGCCGCGGCCGGCTTACAACCGGGTGATGTTGACGCAGTACTTCGAGCACATGGACACAGAGAAGCATGACAAGATGAAGCTGTCTTACGTCAGCGAGGAAGAATTGAAGGACCTGAAGGTTGAGCTCATCTACGGCCGGGCTGTGGGAATCGACCGCGAGTCCAAGAAGGTGTCGTACACGAGCGGCGAGTCCACACTGACGGCGGGCTACGACGTGCTGGTCTTGGCCACGGGCTCCTTTTGCTTCGTGCCGCCGGTGCCGGGCATGACCATCCCGGAGAAGAAGAACGTGCACTGGCCGGACGACCCGGCGAGCCGACCCGAGGGTGTCTTCGTGTACCGTACCATCGAGGACTTGGAGTCGCTGCTGGCCACGGTGAAGGCGGGCGCCAAGCGCGCTGTGGTCATCGGCGGGGGCCTGCTGGGTCTGGAGGCGGCCAAGGCCGTCTATGACCTGAAGCTGGAGAGCCACGTGCTGGAGATGGCGCCGTACCTTATGCCCACGCAGTTGAACGAAGCTGCGGGCTCCGTCTTGTGCAAGAAAATCGTGGATCTGGGCGTTCACGTGCACTGCGGGGTGCAGATCAAGCGTGTAGTGCAGGAGGATGGCAAGGTCACGGGCATTGAGCTCCTGGAAAAGGGCGCTGAGGCGCCCAACATCTTGGAAACAGATCTGATCATCGTGTCCTGCGGCGTGCGGCCCCGCGACGAGCTGGCACGTCAGTGCGGCTTGGAGCTTGGCGCGCGGGGCGGCGTGAAGGTGGACAGTGGCCTGCGCTCCTCGGACGAGTCTATCTATGCCATCGGTGAGGTGGCGGCCATCGGGGGCAACATGTGCTACGGCCTGTGGGCACCCGGGGTGGAGCAGGCAGAGGCGCTGTCGCAGAATCTCCTGCAGGGCAGCGGCACGGCGGAATACCACTCCAGCGACCTCAGCACCAAGCTGAAGCTGCTGGGAGTGGAGGTGGCCTCCTTTGGACGCAGTGCGGACTTCTGGTTCAAGCGCCAGTTCGATGGCAAGGACCCCACAGTGAAGTTCATTGAGAGCAAGGACGACGTCTCCGGCACCTACCGCCGACTTTGCTTCTCGGAGGACGGGACCAAGCTCATGGGCGGCGTGCTGGTGGGAGATGCCAAGGACTACACGAAACTTTTGCAGCTCAGCAAGAAAGACGACCTCGGAGGCAGCGACCCGGCCTCACTGGCCTTCAGGCGCCCGCCACCCGGGGCCGTGGCTGGGGCGCCGGTGGATGGCGGCGATGGAACCGGTCTGGCAGATGACGACGTGATTTGCACCTGCGTGAGCCTCACAAAGGGCCAGGTGCGGCAGTCGATCATCGACATGGAGGCGTACACGGTGCCTGCCATCAAGAAGGCTTGCAAGGCTGGCACTGGCTGTGGCGGCTGCGTCTCCCCAGTGGGCGAGGTGCCAAAGCTCCTGGCCCACACACTCAAGAAGCTGGGCAAGGCCGGGGCCACCGGGATTTGCGCTCACTTCAGCTACTCTCGCAGGGAGCTCTTTGACATCATCAAGGTCAAACAGCTCAAGTCCTTCGAGGACGTCCTGACAACTGTGGGCAAGGTTGGCACGGGCAATGACGGCTGCGAGCTCTGCAAGCCTGTGATCGCTTCCATCCTGGCTGGCTTGTGGAATGACCACGCACTGCGCGAGGGCCGTGATCAGATCCAGGACACCAACGACCGCTTCCTGGCCAACATCCAGAAGACGGGCACCTACTCCGTGATCCCACGCTGTCCAGGTGGTGACATCACTCCAGACACCCTCCTGGCCTTCGCCACGACGGCCAAGAAGTACGGACTGTGGACCAAGATCACCGGAGCCCAGCGCCTGGGCATGTACGGCGCCAAGATCCACGACTTGCCAGACATCTTCAAAGAGCTGGTGGATGCCGGCATGGAGACAGGACAGGCCTACGGCAAGTCCCTGCGCACGGTGAAGAGCTGCGTGGGGAGCACCTGGTGCCGCTACGGACAGCAGGACTCGGTGACCATGGCCGTCACCTTGGAGCATCGATACCGAGGCCTGCGATCGCCCCACAAGATCAAGATGGCGGCCTCGGGTTGTCTGCGGGAGTGCGCGGAGGCGCAGAGCAAGGATGTGGGCGTCATCGCCACCCAGGCCGGCTACAACCTCTACGTGTGCGGCAATGGCGGCGCCAAGCCGGTGCATGCCAAGCTGCTTGCCACGGACGTCACCGAGGAGGTGTGCTTGCAATACGTTGACCGCTTCCTGATGTTCTACATCTCGACTGCCAAGCACCTGCAGCGCACCGCACCTTGGCTGGCTGAGCTGGAGGGGGGCATCGAGTATTTGAAGAAGGTGGTCATTGAGGATTCGCTGGGCATCGCTGCTGATTTGGAGGAATTGATGGCGAACAACCGCGGGAACTTCAAGTGCGAGTGGAAAGAGGTGGCTTATGACGAGGACCTGCGCAAGAAGTTCAAGCAGTTCGCCAACACCAACGATGTCCACGATTCTGAGCAGATTGAGTATGTCGACATGCGTGGCCAGCGCCATCCCAACACCTACAGCCCACCGGATATCACCGGTGCAGCGCTTTTCTCCAAAGACCAGGCCACTGCCACTTGGGAGTGGATCTTTGCCGGTAAGGTGACGGATTATCCCAAGAACGGCGGCCTCAGCGTGAAACACGGCACTCAGGAGCTTGCCGTTTTCCACCTTCCCAAGCAGGCTCCGGAGGATCAATGGCTGGCCACACAGAACCTTTGCCCCCACAGGCAAGCTCGAAGTATCTCCAGGGGCTTGGTGGGCGAGCAGCTGAGTGGTGTGCTGACTCTGGCGGATCCTATCTACAAGACCACCTACAACTTGAGAACCGGCGAAGGCCTCGGCAACCCCAACTTCAACCTGTCGACTTTCAAGACCAAGGTGGAAGACGGCAAAGTCTTCGTGCAGGTGCCTCCCTGCCAGGAGATGGAGGAGGCCTTTGAGGCGAAGATCCAAGCTGCCTTCGAGGCTGAGGGCAAAGAATACAAGAAGAAGGTCGGCGGCCCAATCGCCGCACCCAAGGACTTGTCCTGGTGAGCGCCCAAACAGCCCGACAACCCAAGCGACTGACAAGCAAGAGTCATTCGAGGCATCTTCGTGGTGCCTCGTTTTGATGCTCTTGTCCTTCCCTTATGGCTTAAAAAGCTGAAGGGGCGGAGCAGGTGCGAAGCCATGCTAGACAGATGCCACTCTAACCCATTGTTTTTCATTCACCAGTTGTTATTTTCCGTTCCGGAAGAGGATGTCTGTCAGGAATGACAACATCCTGGGCGGTGCGGAGCACGCCCAGGGGGTCGCATTGCAGCTTCCAACGGAACTGCATCATTTCCTGCGAAGCCGGCACTAGTGCTGCGGAGAAGGTTTTTTTTCTTCTTCGCGGGACGAGAGAGGGGCCGTTGGGGCGGCAGTTGGCGCCATGCTGACACGGGGCCAAGGCGCAGCTGTCCAATCGCCTGTGCCCTGCGCCAGATGAAGCTAGGCTCGACGGAGTTGGGGCGACGACTTTGCGGCTCACCAGCTTCAATGCCTTCGGTTCAGTCATGTCTTCTCAAGATGTAGGACCAACAAGGCCCTATGTGCGGCGGGCTTTCCACGTGAAGACTAGGGAGATTTGAGGCATGCCCCAATATACTCCAGGAAGTTGGATTTGCCAAATGATGATGGATAAGAAACTCAGCAGATTGATGCTGGTGCTGAAGACGTGGGCGTGGTCATGATGGGGATGCTGGAGATGCGATAGAGGACCCAACCATCTCTGTAGCTTACTGATGGATGAAACTGAAGCTCCGTTTATGTGGTGCTTCCGTTGCTGCTCGTGTGAACACAGAGACTGACCGACTCGATGACAACAGGCAAGACAAGCAAGTAGCATTGGGGTGTTTCTTTGTAGGGGAAGGGGGACCTTTAAAAATATACACCAGCAGAGACCCCAAACAGTTGAGGACTGACGGGCAAGCACAAACATACCAACAGCTTGTGGCTTTCTGCGCTTCAACACGGATGAATCAAGATGATGCAGTCGTGAACCCGGCACGCGTTGCGTGGCTGCACGTGTGTTGCTGGCGTGCTTTGCGCTTCAGCACCGCGCAGTAACTGAGTGTGAACGCAAGTGTGGCTGCGCAAGCGTGCGGTCACATGGGCAGTTCAGACACACACGTCCAATTCAGACACACATGTGTGTGTACATGTGGAACGCGCATATGTGTACGACTGAAACAGTGCACGCGGCACGCGCAGATTTGCGCCCGTGAACATACACATATACATTCACTTGCGGCACACGCGTACATGTGTTGAGCTGGAAACCAACGTGTGCTTCTTGTAAAGCACACACACATGTGTACACCTAAAACACATAAGTGTTCACCTACGACACGCCAATGTGTTCACGTGGAACACACATGTGTTCGCTTGGAACACAATGAAACGCGTGTCCAATTCAGACACACATGTGTGTACACGTGGAACACACGTGTGTTCGCCTGGAACACAAGCACGTGCAATAAAAGCACACATGTGTGTACATGTGGGACACACATATGTATACCGCTGGAACACAAATATGTGTCCAGGACACTGCGTGTGCGAGTAAAGCACACATGTGTGCACACGTGGAACACACATATGTGCACGCGTGAGCAAACATAACTGCTCACCTAAAGCGCGCGCACACACACACACGCGTGTTCGTATGAGAACAAACATTTGTTCCTGGAACACACACACATGCGTACACCTGGAGCACATACGTATGTGTGTATGTCTGGAAAGGCATTTGTGTTCACGCGCAACACTGGCGCAGACCTGGATCACACAAACATGTTCAACCGGAAGAAACTTCCGTGCTGACTTGTAACACACATATGTGTACACATGGAACACACGTATGTGCACATGTTGAGAAACATGTGCAACACAATTGTGCACACCTGGACAACAAAACAGTGTTCACATGGGGTTTACATTCTCTGCACGCCTGTGCGACACATAAATCAAGTTCCCGAAGCCGGCTGTGAGGCGCTATTCCACGGGGCTCTGCCTTGAACAACGCCTGTGTTTTATATGCATGTTCCAAGTAGGAAAAAGTGTTCGTGTGCGACCAATCTAGCAATTTTGCAACACGTTGCTAGCGCGCGAGCCTGCTGCTGCTGCTACTACTGCTAATACTATCAGTATCGGGCGCATCTCCAGCATTTACAGGCTTCATCTTAGCAAAAGCTTTCCGGCGCATTGCGCTTCTTTCTCGCTTGGCTGCACAGTGTCTTTCGTGTCGAGCAATCTGTCGCTCGATAGAACGCTCTGAAGTGCCAAAAAAACGTGTTCACTTGGAACGCGCCGATGTGGTCAGCTGGAACACACCAAGAACACAACCATTCACTTGAAACACTCATGCATACATCCGCAGCATGCTGCCTGTGGCTTGATCAAGCGCATGCGCGTGCTCAGCCACACGTTTCTGAGCCTCAAACACACACGCCTGCCCGCGGAACACACCGCACATGAATCCATGACTGCCGGGGACAAATAAAGGGAGACAACGCGAGACAAATGAATCCGTCCATCCAAAGAGCCATGCCTGGCATCCAGGCTGGAAGAGAACGGGAGACAAATGAAGGGACAAAGGAAGACAAATGAGAGCCGCGCCAGACATCCAGGATAGGCTGGAAAAAACGGAAGACAAATGAATTCGTCCACCCAGAAGCGAGACCCACCAGGCATTCAGGCTGGGAGACAACGGGAGACATATGAAGGGAGACAAGGGAGACAAATGAACCCGTGCACCCAGAGTGCCAGAGACAACGGAAGAAGCAAGACAAACGGAAATGAAGGGAGACAAAGGGAGACAAATGAACCCGTCCACCCAGAGGGCCGTGCCAGGCCCGCAGGCTGGGAGACAACGGGAGACAAATGAAGGGAGACAATGAAACAGTCCACCCAGAGCGCCGTGCCAGGCATGTGCGCGCGCGCGTGGACAAATGAAGGGCAAATGAAGGGAGACAAAGGGAGACAAATGAACCCGTCCACCCAGAGAGCCGCGCCAGGCATCCAGGCTGGGAGACAACGAACAAAGGGAGACAAAGGGAGACAATTGAACCCGTCCACCCAGAGAGCCGTCCAGGCATTCAGGCAAGTGAACCCGTCCACCCAGAGAGCCGTGCCAGGCATTCAGGCCAACAGACACCGGGAGACAAATGAAGGGAGACAAAGACTCGTCCACCCAGAGAGCCGTGCCAGGCATCCAGGCTGGGAGACAACGGGGGGCAAATGAAGGGAGAGAAAGGGAGACAACAAATGCAGCGAGACAAAGGGAGACAAATGAACCCGTCCACCCAGAGAGCCGTGCCAGGCATCCAGGTTGGGAGACAACGGGAGACATATGAAGGGAGACAAAGGGAGACAGATAAACCCGTCCACCCAGAGAGCCTGCCATGCATCCAGGCTATGGCTTGGCAATAGGCGAGTCACTTTGCACGAATTTAGAACCCCTCACAGTAAACTGTTTGGGGAAAATTAAAAAAATCAGGAACCAAAGGGACAACCGAAGCCATGGCCTGGGTATCAAAGGTTTTTTCGCGCGGATGCCGCGCAGGATGCCTTGGCTGGTCCTTGCCGGTTGATTTGGCTCAAGTTCACGGTCCCCTTGGACGCCGTTGTCATGGCGTTGATGGAAGCGACTTGCAGCTTGCCAGATTGGCCTTTTTGCAGATTGGCCCGGGAGATTCAGAGCCATAGGTGTCCTTTTTGGTTGGCTTAGCAAAATAGAGGGCCCTGGTTTAGATGGGGTTTATTCCATTTACCAGGGCCATCTATTTTTCCAAAAGGCCTCCTATGTTCAGAGCACTTCTGTTGCAAGTCGCGACTTATGGTGACACAGCTGAATGCGGCCACTGGGAATGCCGGATGTGCATTCTTGTCAGCGTAGGTGATGGGGCGATTGAGGATGGCAAGATCAAGCTCTCTACAGCCTTGTGGCAAACACAGCTGGAGATGCCACCCCGCCAGGATGCTTCCCAGGAGCTTGTCCCTTCCAAACCCGCATTTTTCGTTTACTTTTTTCCATGTTCGACATAGTTCAACATATTTCAAAGCAGATTGCTTTGCTCGCAGGCTGATCAAAGAGATGTCAACACGCCGGACAAGTGGATCCACAGGCGACGTAAGCGCTCGATTCAGTTTGAGTGTTGGTTCGTCATCCAGCCTTGTGAATGAGCATGTCACTCAGAGATACCACTGCGAGTCGAGTGCATCGCACAAGAAGCCTTTGCCATGGCAACCAATCGATGAGACAACACGTGAGCCAAAACAAGGTCTTGGGTTGCCGTGAGTCTTACCCACGTCAGAAGCCGACTTCTCGCCTCAGCATACCAATGCTTGAGTCTCAGACGCCTGCCAGGCATCCAGCCATGTTGCGCAACACTGGTGCTCATCCCTTTAACTCTGAGCCGCCGCTGAAGCATTTGCAGGACGAAGGGATTGCGTGTGTCTGCAGACAAGGCTGGCGTTGCATATTGGCTTGACCCGCCAGGAGGCAGGATGGATCACGCCTCCCTCTTTGTATGTGGTGCGGAATCATGGAGCTGTTCCCAAGCTCTCCTGGTCCGAGCACCGCCTCAAGATCACAGGACATGAGGTTTTGGAAATATGGGGTTCTTTCCTCCGGTTCTGAACAACAATGCAAGTTGTTGAATCTAGACACACAGCACTTAGGGACCTTGGGCAGGGAGGGCTCACAGCATAGCGAGTGAAGCGCGATGAGGGGCCAGCACCCCTTGGTTCCTGAAACCGCAGAACGTCGGGCAGCAAAGCCCGTGATAGGGCGGAAAGCAAGTTGGGTCCTCCTTGGATCAGCGCACACTTCAGCTGTGACAAACCCAGCCGGCATGCATTGCCTTACGTAAGACAAATGACCCTTTGGGGTCAGATATGCGCAAAGCAACCTTGCCGTATCGTTTTGCACTGTGCAGCTCCACAACTCGGCTCGCACACACACACACACACATAGTCAACCATTCTGCACGTGGCCACATGACCCAGAC